CTCAAGAGAGTCTCCTGCCTAAGCCTCCCAAGTAGGTGGGACCACCACAACGCCCGGCTATTTTTTGGTTGCAGCCATCATTGTTATTTTGGCAGGCCCGGCCTGGATTCGAACCCGCCACCTTATGTGTATGTGGCTGGCGCCTTAGCTACTTGAGCTACAGGCGCTGAGCCAAGCTCAGGAGTTTGAGACCAGCCTGAGCAAGAAAGAGATCCTGTCTCTAAAAATAGCTGGGCATTGGGCAGTGTCTGTGGCTCAAAGGAGTAGGGCGCTGGCCCCATATGCCGGAAGTGGTGGGTTCAAACCCAGCCCTGGCCAAAAACTTCAAACAAACAACCAAACAAACAAAATAGCTGGGCATTGTGTAGTGTGCCTGTAGTCCCAGCTAGTTGGGAGGCTGAGACAAGAGAATCGCTTGAGCCCAAGAGTTTGAGGTTGCTGTGAGCTATAACGGCCATAGCACTCTACCCAAGCTGGCAAAGTAAGACTCTGTATCAAAAAGGGGGGGGGGGGCAGCACCTGTGGCTCAAAGTAAGGCACCGGCCCCATATGCTAGAGGTGGCAGGTTCAAACCTAGCCCCCAGCCAGAACTGCAAAACAAACAAACAAACAAAAAGTATTGCATTTTTATTTACTTAGTAAATACGTTGTACTTGCTGTACCAGGTACTGTTCTAAGTGCTTTACAAACCTTAACTCATTTAATTGTAAATGGAAATTGCTATCATCCCACTTTATAGCTAAGGAAACTGAGGCACAGGGAGGTTATATACCCTGCTGGTATGTGGTGGAGTCAGAAGTCAAACCCTGACAGTTGGCTTCAGGCCCTGCTCTGTCCCTTGATCTGGAAACACTTGGCTAGGCGTGGAGGATCACACTCTAGGCTCAGCAACACATTGGCAATCCACAGTGTCTCTTGGCACCCTGGTTTGGGGAGCTTACCAGTCACTGTTCCTGAAGCCACCTTTGCCTTCAACATTCACTCACTCACTTGCACTTGGCAGCTACTCCCCTCCAAGCTGCCCACATCAGCAGAAATATGCATTGGAGTACTGCCCCCAAAAATCATATCAGAAAGAAGGAAATCCCCCTGGGGACTGCCTACCAGGGTGGAAAATCAGCCCCTGAACATTGAAAATGGGTCTTCAGTTTAGGCTGCCAGCTGACTTGACTGGGTAGGACCAGCAGTTCCCATCCTGGCGCTGGCGTTTTGACAGTAAATGTATGCACCCAGGGATCTTTTACTGGGGATATGAGGAGGGTGTGAGAGGTTAGTGTATTCTGTACTTCAAGGGTAGTCTGTGTCCTGAGCGTGTGCTAGTAGGCTCATCACATGTTTGCTTGGTAGTGAAGACAAAGGAAGTATACAGCTTGTCCCTAGAGCCTGTTGGCAGATAGGATGCTGCCAGGTCAACTCCTACTCAACCTTTAAACCCCCACTCAAATATCCCATCCGTCATGGTTCCTTCACAGTCGTATGGGCAGTGTAGCGCTCTGAGGCATTGCTTGGGCCCCTGAGTTAGCAGGTGGCTGATGCCCAGCCTGGCATAGTCCCCAGGCACAGTGTTTGGCACTTGCTGTGGCATCTGTGACACTGGTTCCGTCAGTGGAAGCATGTGGGGGTAAGCAGATGTGTCAGTATCCTGTGACTTTTCTAACAAATGCCCACAACCTGTGTGCTTTAAAACTACAGCAATTTATTCTTTCACCATTTGGGTGGCCAGGAGTCCAAAACCAAGGTGTCAATAGGGTGGTTTCCTTCTGGAGGGAACGAGGGAACATCTGTCCAGTCTTTTTTCTTGGCTTCTGGTCGATGCCGGCAGTTCTTGGGCTAGCAGGTGCATCGTTCCCATCTCTGCCTTTTGCTTCATGCCAGATTCCCCCTTATAAAGACACTAGTCAGTGGATTTAGGGCTGGACCTAATGCAGTGTGATCTTAACTTGATTACATTTGTAATAGCCTATTTCCAATAAGGCCACATCCACGGACAGGGAGTTAGGATGCAGCAGTGGGTGTGTGGGGAAGGGGTAGCCCAGAGAGGGCAGCCATGAACCAGAGGTCAGGAGAGTCAGGAAGCTTGGCGGAGTCATGGGTGGTCCCGAGTAGGGCCTGACTTGGAGAGGCCCAGCCCTGGTGACCAGGCAGTGTGAGTGAGGACCACCGGAGACATGACTGTGCCAGGGCCCCTGAGGTGGGGCTGGGCAGTGTCCTGCATACTCCTGAGCCTGGCTGACTGGAGGAGCAAGCTTGTACTACTCTCTTCTCTCCAAGGACTGGTGTTCCTGCTGTCCAGTGCTGTGCATCTGACACCACCAGCAGGGTTGGGGTTGCAGTGGTGCCCATGGGCTGTTCCTGCTTGGGCATGTTGGAGGTGACCCCTGGGTACGGGGGCCTCAGCTGGTGTCTAGGCACCACCTTGCTGCTTGGCCCATAATACTTGGTCAATAAATTTGTTCTTGTGACTGTTGCCATTGGCTTTCCCTGACCAGAGGAGAGCAGGAATGGTGTCTATGTCCCTAGCACCTACGGACA